TATACCAGGAGTTAAGAATGACAAACCTCCTTATATATACGTATCTACATAGGCGGCAATAAACTGTAAAGAACCGCTAGGCGCCAGATTTCCGTTTCCTTCCGCACACGCAGTTTCCTGTGTGACGAAGATCTACATGTGTTCGCGCGTGAAACGAGAAACACGTGTGCTCTATACGCGCGCCTGTATTATAATATTATGCGCGTGTGCGCCTCACTGTGGGGTAGCATGGCGACACGATCAGCAGGGTTGAAGCCGTGGTGAACACACTCGCGAGAAGAGAAGACAGAGGTAGAGAAGACACACTCGCGCACAACCCCGGTGTTTCGTTGTCGTCATTATGTGTTTCATTTTTTTTATCAGTGAGCCACGGAGCGCCGCTGAAGCTGGGAGTGTAGAGATGGAGTGACTGCAGCGAAGCTACGGCGAGGATTCGCGTGGATGGTGACCGTGCCATCGACGTTGTCGGATATGTTATAGAGCGCCGAAATTCGTGCCTGAACGGTGTTCGACCCCATCCTTGAGAACGATTCGACCGTCATTCACTCGAGGCCGGCAGACCTCGCCTTCGTGATAGGGTTAACCATGTGTCAATATCTGAAAGCGTTTAGCTCTCGGACAGTTGGAGAGCTAGGGATGCTGCGAACGCTGTGGATATGTTGGCAGCTGATCGAGTGCACACACGGGTTTAATCTAGACACAGCGAACGCTAAAATCTTTCGACAACCCGCCAACGTTAGAGACACGCACTTTGGATTTTCAGTAGGACTTTTAAATAACCAAGATGGAAATTGGTAGGTGGATCGTGATGGTGTCTGATTAGGAAAAATAATAGATATATAAATATGTGTGTAAATAGATCGATTGATTGATTGATTGCTTAATAGATAGAAATATTAATAGTCTATATTAGTTTGGTGGTCAAGGTTTCTTTAATTCGCAAGTATGCAAATTGGAGAAATCATATACATATCATTGACGATCGAGTTGACGGATACATAGATGGATGGATGGATGGATGGATGGATGGATGGATGGATGGATGGATGGATGGTAAATACGTCAGAAATATACACTAACAATCTTTTATTATACCGGGAGAATGCGCTATAGCGTGCGCGCGCCTCGACATGCGTGAATGACGAACCTGAATCATACGCCCGAGGCGATCTGTGTCAGGAACGTTGTGTGGAACTAGTGATGCAATGCACCAGAAATACGCGCAGCTATATAGCGCTGGCGAGCGCCGATGCGGGCACGAGATATAGACTGGACCCTGTAACCAGACCTGTATGTTGTATACATTCTCTGGTGAACTGGTTCTGGGTAAAACCGGGCTTGGAATATTCTCTGTGCGTTCTTTGTATAGGCGTTTTGCGTGACCTGCATGTGTACAGTGATCGCGACAAAACAAATGGCAATAAAGTTACCCGATTATAGGCCTACATTATGCTTTACATTTTAGAGTTTTAGTTTTAGTAACGCGTGCTGGGCGAACTAAAAGGTAGATTAAGCGTGCCAAATTCCGCGTGTATACCGGCGGACACATACGAGGTTAGCATTTCCCGTCCGGTATGCCGCGGAGAGGTGTGCAAGCATAGCGCGACCATCTATCCCCCACGAGGGAGATACACGATTTCCATATATGTGAGTGAATGTTGTCTACGGTATGTAGTAGCTGGGTTGTCTGTGCTGGGAGAGCAGCAGGCACGTGTACCCACCTGCACCTATACGTACACGCGTCATCGCACATCGCGCTAGCACAATACGCGAGCGCCCTGCCACACCTTAGCGGATGCCAATAGCAATGGCGCTGCGATAGGTCCAAAGTCCTCGCGGTGCATGTGTGCATATATTGCAAGCGGATCTTCAGTGGCTGCCGATTTCGAAGGAAGGGTTGTGAAGTGCTTAATAAATTAACACGAAGATAAATCCGGTGATTAAAGATATTGCCAGTGATTAAAGGCGAATTTTGTATCGCATATATACGTGTATAGGCGATCTCTACAGCCTACAGGTGAGTATAGGGTTTATTTAATCTGTTCGAATGATCCTATATTGTGTACTAAAAAGATGTGGGCTATTTAACATGTGTTTAGTAGTCAGACACGCTTCTATTTATTAGTTGACAAACCGAAAATATTATTGATTATAGTAGTATAGGTAACATAGCTGTAATTACGGTAATAGTTAATAACTGAATGCATATAATTATTAACTAATTGTTAGATGCAACTTATAATAATACACGCTGTAGTTTCATACGTATGCTGCATTCTAAAGCATGAGATAAGGTTCACAACTTACTCCAAAACCGAGCACCGCGGGCGATTTGTGCTTGAGTTCATACGTCAAATCGTTTATAATCGACCATGCATTGATCCGGTGTATTTAATAACATCATATAGCTGTTGGATAATTGACCTTGACATGGTGGGAGCGCTGTTAATGGAGACACTATAGACGTATGTACGGCTAGACATGCGCACGCAGCTCTTTCCGTTAGATTTATACGGAAGTTAGTATAGGGTAACCGTTCGCTATATACGCGCGCTAATATATCCCAATCAGCGCACATCGATATGATATGAATCGGTAACAATAGGTGGACCAATGCACATGTATTTCACTATTAATTCACGATTAGGGATATCCACATGTTTTTGCGAACTAGCTAGCGTTAGCTCTAGTACTATAGCCCGCGTACAGTTTCCTGCGGCAACTGTACGCGCGGGCTATAGTACTAGAGCTAAGCTAGGGTTAGCTTCCGCATTACTGTCATGTTATAAAGTGATGATGTAGGTATAACAAATATTCAGTGCCTGATACTATTTGCAATCGAAAATACATTCAGCTTAATTCATTTCGACTTGGTTTCGTAAATTCAATGTGGGCTACGTCATGTCGCGGGAGGGCTACCGCTCCCACGTGTAGTGTTTTACTAGCATATACCGATTGGTCCAAAGTACTTATCATGTGTTTGCACAAGTGTCAAGAATCGCTGTATCACCTAAAATAAATAACGAGAGTAGTGACGTATTATTTTGGCCCTGTAGTTTCCCTTTTTGGGTGACGCGCAAGTCAAACAACATTCACTTCGCGGCATCATTATAATATTATATATATATATATATATATATATATATATATACCAGGAGTTAATAATGACAAACCTCCTTATATATACGTATCTACATAGGCGGCAATAAACTGTAAAGTACCGCTAGGCGCCAGATTTCCGTTTCCTTCCGCACACGCAGTTTCCTGTGTGACGAAGATCTACATGTGTTCGCGCGTGAAACGAGAAACACGTGTGCTCTATACGCGCGCCTGTATTATAATATTATGCGCGTGTGTGCCTTACTGTGGGGTAGCATGGCGACACGATCAGCAGGGTTGAAGCCGTGGTGAACACACTCGCGAGAAGAGAAGACACGAGATAGAGAAGACACACTCGCGCACAACCCCCGTGTTTCGTTGTCGTCATTATGTGTTTCATTTTTTATCAGTGAGCCACGGAGCGCCGCTGAAGCTGGGAGTGTAGAGATGGAGTGACTGCAGCGAAGCTACGGCAAGGATTCGCGTGGATGGTGACCGTGCCATCGACGTTGTCGGATATGTTATAGAGCGTCGAAATTCGTGCCTGAACGGTGGTCAACCCCATCCTTGAGAACGACTCGACCGTCATTCACTCGAGGCCGGCAGACCTCGCCTTCGTGATAGGGTTAACCATGTGTCGATATCTGAAAGCGTTTAGCTCTCGGACAGTTAGAGAGCTAGGGATGCTGCGAACGCTGTGGATATGTTGGCAGCTGATCGAGTGCACACACGGGTTTAATCTAGACACAGCGAACGCTAAAATCTTTCGACAACCCGCCAACGTTAGAGACACGCACTTTGGATTTTCAGTAGGACTTTTAAATAACCAAGATGGAAATTGGTAGGTGGATCGTGATGGTGTCTGATTAGGAAAAATAATAGATATATAAATATGTGTGTAAATAGATCGATTGATTGATTGATTGCTTAATAGATAGAAATATTAATAGTCTATATTAGTTTGGTGGTCAAGGTTTCTTTAATTCGCAAGTATGCAAATTGGAGAAATCATATACATATCATTGACGATCGAGTTGACGGATACATAGATGGATGGATGGATGGATGGATGGATGGATGGATGGATGGATGGATGGTGGATGATGGATGGATGGATGGATGGATGGACATCCATCCACCATTCATCCATCGCCATCCATCTCAAAATCATTCATACATCCATCATCCATCCATTCATCCATCCATCATCCATCATGCCATCCATCCATCCATCCATCCCTCCATCCAATAGTACCATCCATCATCCATCCAATTCCATCCATGTCCATCCATCCATCATCCAATTCCATCATCCATCCAGTCCATACATCCATCGCCATCCACCATTCCATTCATTCCATCCAGTCCATTCCAGCCATCAGCCATCCATCTATCCTATCCAATCCATAGCCATTCCATCCATCCATAGCCATTCCATTGTCCATGCCCATCCATCCATCCTGCCATACATCGCATCCTTTCCATCCATCCATCTCCATCCCATCTATCCCTCCATCGTCACATACCATCATCCATCCATCCCATCCATCCATCCATCCATCACCATATCCATTCCATCTACCATCATCGCACTCCATTCCATGCCATGCCATCCCATAACCATCCATCCATCCATCCATCCAATTCCATCATACCTCCATCGCATACCCATCCATTCCACTCACCATCCATTGCCATCCATGCATCATCCATCCCTCATCCATCCATACCAATTCCATCCATCCTATCCATCCATTCCATCCATCCATCCATCCATTTGCCAATTCAGCCATCCATCCATGCCATCACAGTCCATCATCATCCATCACGCATCCATCCTCCATCCATTCCATCCATTCCATCATCCCATCTATCCCATCCATTGCGACCGTCACCCGATGGCCATTCCATCCATACCATCCATCCATTCCATCCATCCATCCACACCATCCATCCATCCATCAATCCATCCAACATCCATTCCATCCAATCCAATCCATCACATCAATGCCATCCATCGCATCTATCCATTCCATCCATTCCATTCATACCGTTCGATACATGTCCATCCATCCATGACCATCCATTCATTCATACTATCCATCCCATTCATACCATCCCGTCCAATCCATCATTCCCATCCACCATCCCATCCATCATCC